CCACGAGGTGCGTGAGCGAGTGGGTGCCGGGGAACCAGGGGTCCAGCAGCTCTGCGCACATGGCCACGCGCGTGGATGAAAGAGATTCATTCCGATCATGCCGCTGCAGGAACCAGTAACACAAAAAACTTTTTGCAATGCAGCGTTTGGGCTCCGGTTGGAGCTCGCTCAGCAACAATCTTTGGCTGCGACGCCAAAGAAGCAAAAGTATTGGTTTGTCTGCGACGTGGATTTACCTGAGAGGGACCCAAATGGCGTTGCCACGGTCGGGCGGCGCGAGACGAGGAACGCTCGGCTCTTCACAGCGCGCTGGGGCTGTGCTGTTGTGGCAGCGGCGTCCGTTGCTGCCGATGATGATGATGGCGGGTCCGCGCTTGGCTGCTCCTGCAGGCTCTTGGAATCCGCCTTTGCCGTGATGCGCCGATGACGCGATGCCGAGACACGCTGCGCAGGTCGGACGGAACCTGCAAATGAGGGGGAACGATACCATTGTTAGCTTGGGAACATGCTGGAGGCTAACGACTGAGGGTTGGCAAGATTTTGTCACTTACCTGGCGATAATTTTTTCATAGAAATACCGAACCTCCCAAAAGCGTGGGAAAAGGTGGGAGAAACGATGGCGATAGCAGTAGTGGCAGCCATTGGAGATTTTCGCGTGACTAAGACGACGTGAAAGTGCAGTTTGTAGAGAGCGAGAGAATTTGTGAGATATCGGGTGCTGGAGTTCGAGCACATGCGAACTCCTTTTATCCCCCGCAGGAGCACCTTCAAAAATGCAGTGGGTCATTCGAGAAGGGATTGTCGAACACGATGTGATGCGCTTCGACAGTTCTGGAGGCGCATCTCGTAGCTCAAGATGGAGAGAATTGCCGGGGGAAGCCCCTGAGAATTTCACGGTCAGGGATGCAGTTTGGATGTTGCTGTTGGAATCCTTGCGCAGAACAGCCAATGAGAACTTCTTTGGTTGCCCCGATCTGAATGGGCACCGAATCGAAAGATTCAAACCAGCACGCAAGGTTCCTTCAGCTTCAAGTCACGCTCCAAAAGCTGCTGCGATGCTACATATAAACGATCAAGCAAAGCTACGGCATTGCAGTGACTCGCTGCACCTACAGCTTGTAATGAACAATGCTATAAAATCGAGGCATAGTAAATGAGAACATAACATTTGACTATGTTTGGAACCACCATCATCACGAGCCTTCATGCTTGGGACCAGAAATATGTGTAGCCCTCCAGACAGGCACACCAATAAATGAATCCTGCTACACTCATCATGGTTCCAGCAGCAATACGTCTCCTCAACCATTTCTGATCCCTTCACCCTCCGTGGACTACCTTGCATATACGGAGAGCAACCTACACCTGGAAATTGTCACAAAGCATATGGCCCTTGATCCGTTTCAAGGGCGACACAAAGAAACACCCACGTCAAGAAGGAACACAATGTTCAGTTGCTAGTCTGTTCGAGCACTGTAGCAGCTGCTATCTGCCCATTCAGGCACTGCAGCAGCTGCTGTTTGTATTTAATAGAAGTAAAACAGCATCCTCCTGTCAAGATCAGCACACTAGGACTAACCCAGCTGCCGTGAGTCCCATCCAAAGCAAACCAGCTGCGGCCTGCCTGCATCAGAATCAAAGCAGCGGTGCGATGCTATCTGTCCCCAGGTGAGGTAAAGCAGGTGCTGCCTGCACGCAACCAGAGCAGCAACGATCTGCTTTGCTCAGTGTTAGCGACAGGACAGCTGCCAATGTTGGTGTCATCCGTAACAGCAGGCTTCCTTCTGCCTTCCAAGCAGCTGCCATCAATCCCACGTTAGAGATACAGCAGGGGTAAAGCACACCACCTGCCATCTGTTCTCACCTGACCCCCCCTCCTCTCCTTTGACCAGAAGTATAGCAGCTGCTGCGTGGCGCCTGGCGGATGAAGAGCAGCTGCCATCAGTCCATCCCCTTCCCCTCGCCGCTTTCCTTTCATCAGCCATAGAGCAGCTGCTGTCCGTCTCCCCCCCCCCCCATTCTCCCCCCCCTTTTCTCCCCCCAGTCAGAAGTAGAGGAGCTGCTGGCGGGGCGCGTGCCATCTGTTCCCCTCTCCCCTCCCCCATTCCCCCCTATCCCGCCCCGTGGTCAGAAGTAGAGGAGCTGCTGGCGGGGCGCGTGCCAATCTGTTCCCCTCTCCCCTTCCCCATCCCCCCCTACCCCGCCCCGTGGTCAGAAGTAGAGGAGCTGCTGGCGGGTGCGTGCCATCTGTTCCCCTCTCCCCTCCCCCATACCCCCCTACCCGCCCCGTGGTCAGAAGTAGAGGAGCTGCTGGCGGGGCGCGTGGCGGAAGAAGGCGCCGACCTCCTGGCGTTTGTTGAGCATGAGGCAGCGCCTGGCACAGCCCGCGCTTCATTCCACCGGTTCACGCGCGGGAGGTCGGCGGCGCCGTGGGCGTCGATGCGCAGCGCGCCCAGGAACGCGTCCACGCCGCCCGACTCCACCGACGCCTCCAGGAAGCCCCACGCCCACGCCATGTGCAGCCGCGGCGCCAGGCCCTCGCCGCGCATGCTCAGCGCCGCGCCCCACACGGCATCCGCCATGGGCTGCGTCACCAGGTGCGGGCGCTGCCGCACGTACGCCGCCATCTTGAGCAGCGCCGCCGCCACCAGGTCCGGCTGCGTCGGCACCAGCAGGTGGGGGGGCAGCAGCGCGCGCACGGCGTCCCGTACTCGCCCAGCGCGCGCCACTGCGAGGGGGTCAGCAGCGCCCGCGTGCGCTGTATGCGCGCCGCTGCTGCTGCCGCCGCCCCGCACACGTGCCCGGTGCTTCCGCCACGCCTGGCATCTGGCACAGCCGGCAGCAGTAGTACACCAGCCTGGGGGGGGGGGAGAGGGGAGGAGGGGAGCGGGAGGGGAGAGTTGCGGACGGGGGTTGGTGGCGGGAGTGGCGGTATCAACAATCTGGGACGGAGTCCAGCTACTGCTTCGCTACCAGCAGTTGCCTTTAGCACCTGCAGCAGCCTAACACGCCTCTATTACCCCAGACTGCCCTCTATCTGCGCGCTACCTGCAGCTGCCGCATTTGGAGGTGGCGGGTCGGCGCACGCAGAAGTAGCACGCGTTATCGGGAATGTCGAACGCCACCAGCCCGGGCCCCGGATCCCCCACCTCTCCGCCCGCCGCGCCCGCTTCCGCACCCGCACCTTCCCCCGTTCCCCCTACCCCCGCGCCAGCTGCGCCGGCAGCAGCGGCAGCAGCGGGAGCGGTGGCGGCGGAGACGGGAATGAGGGCAAAGTTTCTTTGGAGGAGGAAGTTGATGGAGAGCGAGCCGGCAGCGCCGACGAGCAGCGCCGCTAGCACCGACAAGTCGACGGAAACAGTAACTCGAGGCAGCAGCGAGCCCACATACTCGCGGGAGAGATAGCAGGCGGCGAGTAAGAGGCCGAGTAGGAGGCACGATACCAGGCACGCCACGTGCCGGGCTCTTACGCTTCCCAGCATCGTTTATTAACGCGAACCGCGGAGCTTATAACGAGGATTCGGCAACAAGGAACGCCGGGACGAGGAAACCAGGATCGAGAAGTTCCAGCTTCCCAGCTCTTTCAATGATAGAGTGCCGACTGTATGTCACAAGCTGTGACACGGCCTAACCCTAATACGCCAAGGCTCTACCATGACGGGGAAAAGCAACTATAAGGGCATAAGCATACTAGCGAACAGGTACGCGACGTGAACCTAGCGAGGTCCGAGGCAAGAAGCAGCTGTTGGGGAGGGTCAGCTCAGCAGACACAGAAAGCGAGACTCGGATTCACAGGCCACGTCTCTGGTCTGGCTGAAGCTCCCCTCCCAGACTCAACTTTCAGTGGGCAGGAAACAAGCAGCCTGGGCGACGGAAAACCAGAATCAAGGGTAGAGCTCTTGGGAAACACGAACTGGAAGGCTGGCTAGGTTGGGTGAGGGGAGGGGGCGAAGGGATTGGTGGTGGTTGGGTGGATGAGGCTGGTTCGGTCCGCGTTTGGCTGGTTCGGTTAGTAGCTGGTTTGGTCTGGAATAGGTTCGTTGGTCCGTGTGACGCAGACATGCAGCAGGCGGGCACGGAGCCTGGGCCTTTCGGTACCCTATCGGGCAGATTTGTTGCGGGTTGTGGTGCGAAACAATTCGAGAGCACATCAATGCCACCTGAAAAGGCCTCTCTACTACACCGCTTGCAAAACAATTTAAAGTCGCATCACTTGCGGCTCTAGTCGACGAAACTTTTCAGTGAAAAAGGCTGGCAAAGCACATGACGCTGAGATGCAGAGTGCCACAGCGCGTCCCGTCGAGCCAAACACACCAAAGTCAAACCAGAAAAAGCAAGGCTCGATGCCAATGCGTCGTTAGGGTTGCGTAGCAGCTTGATAGAATCCTGAAATGAAAGAGCAATTCTCTCATGCGAATAAATAGGTAAGAGAGTTCGTTTGTAAGGTAAGCTATGTGCAATTGTTTTTCAGATTGGATATGAGCGTGAACGTGATTTGAAGCCATTAGGGGATTTTGATGAGAAATGTATAAACGAGAACAATGCCATGGGTTTTCTACAAATCTCAACATGAAAAAAAAGGTTTGGTTGAAAAACAACATCAAATGGTGATTATGGATGCGAGACGTGTACTTGTCTGTAGCTATTAGAACTTATGCATTTTTGTCGAGACGAGAGGAAAAAGATATTTACTGTTGTGACTTTTTATTCAAGCTTGACTTTTTAGTTGCAGTGTTTCACGTGGGATGATGGTACATTATGGCACACCGTCAAGACGATTGGTTCGTTTTGACGTTGACAATCAAGTTGCAGTGTGACTCCATCTCTTCTCGAAATTTATTGGAACCGTGAGTTTTTAGTTGCATGAGTACACTATCAGCCGAAGGCGGACTGTAGAGTCGTTTGCTGAATTCCTAAGCAAACTTGGGCAGTTTTTTTTTGGGTTGCGTATTGTTAACGTAGAAACGAATGATTTACTAGAGGTGGAAACCTAGAACAAATACTAGTTGGTTGTACTCACTAGAAGCATACCTCAGTCTAGCCTATAACTTCTACATAGATAATATGTATAAGTTGACACACCCCCTAGGCTAGACAAGGGGTGAAACTAAACAAGAAGCAAACAGCTCAGGGCGGCACTACTAGTCCAACCACTGAGGCAGGGGTCTGGAGACCAGTCAGCAAGAATACAACCAAAACTGAAGCAAGCCAGGGTGGCACTACTAGTCCAGCCACTGGAGGTAAGGCCACAAGGCCAGTCTGACAAAGCATATATAATAGAGAGTACACAATCAGGATCCTAACAGGGGAGCAGCTATAGGAACAAGACCAAGCTGTACACAGTGCCGCTGATGATCTTTAGGCGCAAGCGCCTTAGTAAAGATATCAGCTGTGTTGGCACCTGAGGCCAAGTGAACTACGCGGGCCTGGCGGCGCTGCTGTAGCTCGCGCAGGAGGAAGTACCGCAGCTGGATATGCTTCGCTCTGCCCTCAAGCCGAGGCTCCTGACACAGGAGTATCATGGCCCTGTTGTCAGCGTACAGGACCGGGGCAGAGCTAGGCCGCTCACCTAAGTCTGTGAGCAAGAAGGTCAGCCAGCGGAGCTCCTGTGCCGCCATGGCACCAGCGTAGATCTCAGCCTCACAGCTAGACTGAGCCACAGACGACGAGCGAGTGGATCTCCAAGAGATAGCACCCGAACCAAGGCTGAAACAGTAGCCCTGCGACGACCTGAGCGTCTCAGCGTCGTCTGCCCAAGAAGCGTCTGTGTGCCCAGTAAGGACCACTGGCCTGCGTCCTCCTAGCACTAACCCCATGCCTGATGTACTAGCAAGATAACGCAAAACCCTCTTAGCGGCAGACCAGTGCTGAGGTCGGTGTCTGCCTGTAGCCACAAAGCGAGCCAGGATGCTGAGAGGGTATGCGAGATCTGGGCGAGTGCAAGTCATCAGGTACATGAGGCAACCCACCAGCTCTGCGTAGGGGCCACTGGGCTCTACTGGCTCCTCAGGAACGGGAGCAGAGAGCCCATGGTCTACGGGTAGAGGTGTGGGCTGTGCGGAGGAGAACTGAAGACCGAACCTCTGAAGGACCTGACGCACCAAGTGTGACTGGGTCAGAGTGATGGTGCGTGCTGCTCTGTCCCTAGAGATCTGCAGGCCAAGATAGCGACGCAGCTCTCCAAGGTCAGTGCAGGTGTGTCTCTTCAGCAGCTCAGCCTTCACAGAGGCCAGTGCGTCCCTGTCAGGAGTAGCGAAGACCAGGTCGTCTACGTAGACAAGGATGTAGAACGGAGTCTGGCCGGAACGCACAAACAGTGAAGGGTCAGCAGAGGACGGAAAGAACTGCAGGTCTGCTAACGTGGCACGTAGCGTGTCGTGCCACTCGCGGGGAGCCTGACGCAGGCCGTAGACCGGGCGCCTGAGAAGCCACTGGGTCCCAGGAGGGAAGGTACCAGTGAAGCCCTGTGGTCGGCGCAGGTAGACCTGCTCGTGTAGGCTGCCCTGAAGAAAGGCAGTAGAGAAGTCGAGAGAGTGAAGCTCGTAGTCACGCTGTGCTGCTACGTGTAGCAGCGCCCGAAGAGTGGTCATCTTCGGGGTCGGGGCGAAGGTCTGGAAGAAGTCAACCCCCTCGCGCTGACTGAAACCTCTGGCCACGTAGCGCGCCTTGAAGACAGGCGGCTCTCCAGGGGGGCGCTTCACCTTGAAGAGCCACCGACCATCGACTACGTTCACCCCAGGCGGGGGAACTGCGTCGACGTAAGTGCCGGTGGATCTCCAAGATGCCATCTCCTGCTCCATGGCAGCTATCCACTGAGAGGCCCAAGGTCCCGAGGTGGCCTCAGCGTAGGTGCGAGGGGTCGGGATGTCGAAGGCGTCTGGGTCACCCTCAGGGACTAACAGCATGGAGCAGAGATGGGGAGCAGCCTCGGAAAGGAAAGCCAGCTCGTACTGCCTGTCCTCTAGGACGTCACTGCCAAGGGCAGGAGCACCCCCGACGGACAGAGGACGGGCAGGGTCAGAGACCAGAGCGGTAGCGTAGTCAAGGCGGCGGGTAGAAGCGAAGTCAGCGACAGCAGCGACAAGCGCGTCAAGGCGCGAGACAGGAACAGCAGGGTCGGTAACAAGAGAGGCAAGGACCCGAGGGACAAGGGGACGAGCAGCACGGAGGTAGTCAGAGAACGGAGGAGGTGCAACAGCAAGGGACGAGGGAGGAGGGGACGGGAGGAGGGGAGGACGAGACGAGTGGGAACGGAGCAACATAGGGTGGGTGGGCAGGACAGGAGAGACGGGACGAGCACGGGAGGGACGGCGAGCCCAAACGTGAGACGGAGGGGTAGGGTCAGGGGACAGCGGAGGAGACACAGGAGGGGAACGAGGAGGAAGACGGGCCGGAGACGAGTCTGGCGGCGGGAACACAGGACCGTAGACAGGGAGGTCAGGAGGCGGTGGGGGAGACACCGGCGCGCGGTCCGGGGAGGGAAGGCCGAGCAGGCGGAGAGCGGAAACCGGCGGCGACGGCTGCTGTGGCGGCGACGACGGCTGGGCCGGAACTCTCGGACCAGCAGAGGCAGAACGACCGTCGGCAGAACACTCAACAGCAGCACCCCCAGAACCAACACCCCAAGAGCGAGAACCCCCTCCAACACCAGCGGCACCCCCAGAAGCCGCAGGACGAACACCCTCCTCCACACCAGCACCCCCAGGGGCCGAGAGCAGCGGCGGCAGTGGCGGCGACAGCGGCGACGGCTGCGGCGGCGACGGCGACGGCGGCGGCAGCGGGGTCGGCGACTGCGACAGTGGGGGCGGAGGCACTGGGGAAGGGGGACGCGGCAAGGACGGACCGGGGGTACCACCAGAGTCAGCAGACTCCTCAACGGGGACAACCGACGGGAGGGGAGTGACGTGGGAGACACCAGACGGGGCAGGACGAGGCGGGAGAGGGGCAGGGGCTACCGGGGGAGAGGGAGCAAGGAAAAGGGGGGGGGCAACTGGGAGACCTCGGTGAGGGAAGCGGCGGTAGAAGGAGACGGACTCGTCAAAGGTGACGTCACGAGAGTGGAGGAAGCGGTGAGACGGCGGGTGGTAGAAAAGCCAGTCAGACGAGTCCAGGGGGAAGCCGAGGAAGACACAGGGGACAGTGCGGGCAGTGAGTTTGTCCGTGCCAGAGGCACGAACGTGAGCAAGGCAGCCCCAGACGTGGAACGCAGACGCGTCACCGGGGGACCCGGTCCAAAGGAGGGTCGGCGAAACCTGCGGCCGCTGGGAGCGTGGCCACAGGTTAAGCTGGTGAGCCGCGTAGCGAACAGCGAACGGCCACAGAAAATGGGGGGCATCGGCATGGATCATGGAGGTACGGGCGACCTCCATGACCAAGCCGATGCGGCGCTCAGCAACCCCATTCTGCTGTGGCGAGTCCGGCAACGTGTACGACTGGGTGATGCCCTCCGCACGACAGAACTGTCCAAGCCGACCAGAGGCGAACTCGCCGCCACGGTCGGAGTGGAGACACAACACGGGGAGACCGCGGTGGAGACGCGCAGCTACAACCCACGGGAGAAGAACGTCGGGCACGTCGGCCTTCCGCTCCAGGGGAAACACCGTGGTGTAGCGCGTGTAGTCGTCAACGAGCACAAGGAAGTAGCGCTCACCGCGCGGTCCGGGGACGGGGGCAGGGCCCCAAACGTCCAAGTGCAGGGTCTGAAGGGGGGCAGTAGCAGGACGCAGCGAGGAGGAGTGAGGAGCACGGCGGAGCCGACCCTCGACGCAAGGCGTGCACGGTGGCGCAGTCGAGGGAGGAAGGGCAGGGAGCGACGCGGGGAGACCTAAGACAAGACCGT